TAGATCCAGTGCTGAAGCTGAGTACCGTGCAATGGCACACGGAGTAGCCGAAGGTATGTGGATAAAGAATCTATTGGGAGAGTTGGGTTTTCCAGTTGGTAAACCCATGACTCTACTCTGTGACAACAAGGCAGCTATCAGTATTGTTGCCAACCTGGTACTACATGATAGAACAAAACACATTGAAGTTGACAAGCATTTTATCAGAGAGAAAATCATCACAGGCGAAGTATGCACTCCATACATCAGCTCTGAAGACCAACTTGCAGACTTGTTTACAAAAGGGCTAAACTATTCCAGACATCAAGGTCTCTGTGACAAGTTGGGCATGATTGATATCTATGCCCCAACTTGAGGGGGGAGTGTTAACAGGTGTATTATATGTACTGTACACAGGCTTAGTACCCGCAGGGGTATTTTCATACTTCTGTATACATTTTGTTATGTATGGCCAGAACAATATAAAATAGATAGCTTCACTCGACTGAAGCCAAGTTTTGTTGAGGCCTTAACTCAGTTGCCTCTTATTCTTCTTCCTCTTCTCCTTCTTTCTTCTTTTCTCCTTTTCTTCTTCTTCTTGGTTTCCTGCTCAACAAAATGAAAACCAAAGGAATGAAGCATAGGAGTGATTAAGTATCATAGATTAGGGTCTTGCCGTCTTGGGCTTGTCTGAAATCCAAATATCACGAGCAGACCTCTGTATGCATGACCATTCTAAACTTTTATTTGCATATATTATTATGTAGGTTAGAAGAATAATATAAGAAACCACTAAATTTAAGTTCTCCAAGTTCAATTGACTTTTATGTGCTTATACATAATACATGCATCAATAAATTACTTTATCTTTTTCAAAATAGAAAAAGTGTAACAGAGATCCCTCTACTATATATTAACTATTTGACTATTGATGAAATGAAAAATTATAGGCTTCAAAATTCTTTTAACTCAAGTTAGATCGTGTTAACATAACTATAAATGTGAATTAGGTTTTTGTTCTTGGTTAGATATTGCCTGTGTCATAATTACTTTGAGTACCTTCTTTTCTGTTTTTTTTTATTTTATTTTTTACTTCCCATAGTTACTGACAGTACCAATTGAGGAATCTAATTATGAATATGTTTTCAGGGTTACAGAGTAATTTCTGTTGATATACCACGTGTATGGAATCAACATGAGTGGATTCAAGCATTTGAGAAGTTTTTGGATGCTATTGATGTTCATCATGTAAGATAATCATTTTATTCTTTATATTCTCTCACTTAGACTTGTTCCTTTAAAAATTTAGGAGTCATTCTAGAAACCCGGATTATTTCTTTTGCTTATTCATAAATCAAATGACTGTCAGTAGGTTTGTTACATCTCTTACTTAAGAGTTGAGAACATCACATCCATGACCCATGGGCTTCATGACTAGTGGTTATAACATTGTAAAGATGGCTGTTGAATGTCTCAAATGGACAAGTTATCAATGATGAATATCTTAGTTACATGATAGAAATAGCGGGTGTCAATCTTGATAGTGCCATTGGGCAGTAATACATGCTCATGAAAGTGATATTCCTAGTTATCCAAAAAGATAGCATTGAGAAAAGGCATAGACCTCCAAAATTAACATAAAAGCAGTTTTTTAAAGTAACAAAAAAACTATTCAGGGACCTCACCTAATAGCTTAAGCTTTTAGGTTGAATGGTTCCTTTTCATGGTATTAGAGCATGTTTGACCAAGTGGTCTAGTGTTTGAGCCTTGTCGCCTCCATTGTAATAAATTAAATTTCAGCACAAGGCATGGGTGGGCCTGTGCTTGTCCATGCTTTTAGCCTGATTGGCTTTCATGTGAGGGGGCATGTTAGAAAATAAAATCCTATTCAGTGACCTCACCTAACAGCTTAAGCTTTTAGGTTGAACAGTTCCTTGAATGAAAGAAAATTATAACCAAGGTGCTTCAATTATTTAACAATTTGAACCTGTGAAATTCTGGACGTGTTTGTCTGTTTCCTAGTTGCATCACATAAAGTAGCTAGTGTGATGGTTAGATGTCTTGTATTCTTGATCCCTGGAAGTTGGTTTTGTGATTTTGGTTGCAGTTCATTTTGTTTCAGGGTTGGGGATCAGAGACCAATTAGACTCTTGTTGCTTCTTTAGTGCAAATTGTTCTAATCTGAGATTGTATGCACAACAACTAGGGCTTCAGGTATTCAAAAGGTCTTTATTTATTTATTTTTTTGTTTACACATTCATAGACTGTTATTAGTGCACAAACAACAATAATAGGTCGTTTAGAAGTTAATAGACCATTCAAAGCTCAAAAACACATAAAATTATATCAAAAAAAAAAAAAACTAAAGAAGTAAACTTATAGAAGGTGCATGCCTGGACCGAGGAACAAGGCGACCCAAACTGTGGGCCTAGGCACACTAGGCATGTGCCTTTTGAAAGTGGCATCCCTTGGGTTCAAGTGAGGTGCATGGTTTAAATTGTGCCTTGCTGTACATCTAGGCGTGGCACCCCTTTAAACCATCATACTAAAAATTTTATAGATCCATGTCAAAGAATGTGGTGAAGAAAGGAAAACCAGTCCGATCAGTTTCTACTACCTGATGTATAAGTTACATGATATCATTATCTGGTGAGTTCAGTGATTTATTGTCTCATCCTGGAGGCTTATATTGAGGGGTCTTAGTTTTTGAGTATCCTTGTATATTGTATCTGGTATCAGTTCTATTGTTTGGGTAGCCTCATTCACTGGTAAGCCTCTTCCTGTATACTTCCTTGTCTCAGGGCCTGAAGATTGTATTTTTCCCCTCCTTTTTCTCTTTTCTTGTTACAGTCCCC